CTTGGAATATTTCTCCCCACTCCCTTCTTGACTTAAGAGTTTGTGATGATAAGTCTGCTGTTATTTTGATAGATTTCCCGTTATAGGTAACCTGCATCCTTTCTCTGGCTGCTTTTAATATTCTGTTTTTTTGGTGGATTTCTGGGATCTCGATTATTATATGCCTAGGCGTAGATCTGTTTTGGTTGTAGGTAGCTGGCGTTCTGTATGCTTCTTTTATCTGGATATCATTTCTTTTTGCTATACGTGGGAAATTTTGCTTTAATATCTCTGTGAATATTTTTTGTATTTCATTTTTGGATGTTCCTGCTTCCTCACTCACATTCTTTATCCTTAGGTTATGTATCTTTTTATCATCTTCCAGTTTTAGAATTGCTTCTTTCTGGTTCCTTGTTATTTTTAAGAGGCTTTTTCTTTCACGTTCATAAGCCCTAAATCTCTCTTCAAGTTTCAGAAGGTTGTCTTTAGTTTCTGTCAAGGCATTTTGCCAATATTCAATGGAGTTCTGAGTTTCCTGATATTCTCTTTGGAACTGTTTCATGTATTCTAAGTTATGCTTAAATTCTTCTTCAGATGCTTCTCTTTCTTTTCTGATTTCCTCAGTTCTTCCATCTGTGTTCTCTTGGGCGGGGCTTGTCATTTCTTTAATTAATCTCTTTATATCTTGCCTCACTTGGATCAGGAGTACATCTTTAAATTCCTCTATGAGATCATGTAAGTACTTTTTAATTTCGGCTGATGCTGTGTCGAGTAGAGGATGGTTACTGTGCTTGTTCTCTTCAGTGTTTAGTTCTCTTGGGTTTAATTTCTCCTGTTGAACAGCTGGAGGTTTTTTTTTATTTTTATCTCTTGTCATGTTTCTGGTTTCTTTCAGACTGTCCTGGAGTTCTCTGGCCCTCTCCGAATTGCTTAGGGCCTTTCAGAAGCGTGCTGGCTTGACTTTTTGCTGTCCTCCCCAATTTGCTGTTATCTGGGGAAGGCTGGGATGTAGGGGCGGTACAGTCTAGACTCTAGCCTCTGTGTCAGTTAGTTCATAAATTAGGCTGTACTTTCTGGTTGTCACTGAGTTGTGACTATTTTGTATCTGCTTATTGGGCCCCAAGCAGAGGCTTGGTTTAGCCCCAGTAGCTCCTGCCAGTTCTCTTTGAATCAGAAGCAGCTGGGTAATGGCACAGGATTCTGCCCAGGTCCCAGCCGTTCTCTTCCAAACCTCTCTGTGATAGGTGCACCAGAAAAGCAGATCTGCCCAAAACAAAGATGGCTCCCACTAAGTTCTCTGTGTGGAGCTGAAGCCAACAAGTAATCAGGCTCTGCCAGGACTTAAGATGTCTTCCACCAGCCCTCCCTACAGGGCGACCTGGTGATGTCACTAAGCTGCGATTTCTGCCGCCAGGCTAATATGTCTGCACCAGATTCTGTGTTATTGATTTCCCCGTGGTGGCGGGCCAGCTGTTCTCTGGTCAAACCCAGCAGCGGCGGGGTTTTCTGTACTCACCAGGGTCCGGTGCAAGTCCGCGTTCCGGGACCGCCGCACACCAAGCTGTCCACTTTTCCCCCACTCGCGGCTCAGCGCTGACCGGTCAGATTTCTGTGCACCGTATAGATTTGAATCGCCAGAGCTTTGTACATCCGCGCTGGTGCAGCGGTGCAGAACTGGCTGCTACTTGGAGTCTCGATCTGGGTCTCAGTTTCCCGCGGTCTCCAAAAGCAACTCAGCTTTTCGTGCTGGGTCCACGAGTCTGTTTGTTGATTTAAGGGCGCGGGATTTGTAGCCTCCGGTCTCAGCACGACTTTAAATCCTCCAGTTGTACTGTCTTGGTTAATAAGAATCGCTATCAATTTGTCTGGTCCTCTCCATGCTGTCTTTTTTTATCTTTGAGTTTGAATTCTCTGGAGAGATTCTTCGCTCGATTCCCTAGCTCGCCGCCATTTTCCAATCCCCCTTGGCTGTTGGTTTGTCATAGACGGCCTTTATAAGATTGAGGTGTACACCGTGTATTCCGAATGAACATGTGTTAGACTTTATCAAAAGCTTTTTCTGTATCTATTGAGATGACCATGTGGTTTTTGTTTTTGGCTCTGTTGATGTGGTGTATTACATTTATTGATCTGCATATGTTAAAACATCCCTGCATTCCTGGAATGAATCCCTCTTGGTCATGATGTATAATCTTCTTGATGATTTGCTGCATTCTATTTGCCAGTATTTTATTGAGAATCTTTGCATTAATGTTCATTAGTAAGATTGGTCTATAGTGCTCCTTTTTGGTTGAGTCTTTTTCTGTTTCTGGTATCAGAGTAATATTTGCCTCCAGGAATGATTTAATGAGGATTGTTCCTTTTCAATTCTTCATTGAAGAATTTAAGGAATACTGGCATCAAATCTTTTCTAAATTTCTTGTGGAATTCAGCCATGCATCCCTCAGGACCTGGGCTTTTCTTTGTTGGTAAGTTTTTAATTATGTTTTCAATTTCAATAGCTGATTTTGGGTTATTCAAAATTGCTGTATCTTCTTGGTTAAGCTTTGGTAGTTCACGTTCCTAGAAATCTGTCCATTTCCTCTGTGTTTTCCATTCTATGTGAGCAGAGATTTTCAAAGTAGGTATTCATGATCTTTTGAATTTCCATGGGATCTGTAATAACTTCCCCCTTTTCAGTCCTTGCATGAATTTGGGTTTTTTCTTTCTTTTTCTTTTATAAAGTTAGCTAGAGGTTTGTCAATTTTGTTTATTCTCTCAAAAAAACAGCTTTTTGATTCATTACTTCTTTGTATTTTTTGTTTTTTAGTTTCAATTGCACTGATTTCTGCTCTAATCTTTATAATTTCCTCTCTTCTATGAGCTTTGGGTTTAATTTGCTCTTCTTTTTCTAGAAGCTTGAGATGAAGCATTAGATTGTTTATTTGTGCTCATTCTGTTTTGTTATGACAATTTACTGCTATGTATTTCCCTCTTAGATCGCTTTCATTGCACCCCACAGGTTATAATATGTTGTTGCCGCATTTTCACTGAATTGCAGGTATTGCTTTATTTCTTCTTTAATTTCATCTGCAGCGCACTGGTTGTTCAAAACATTGCTATTTAATTTTCATGTAGTTATGCAGTCTTTGCAATTTCTTTTGCCATTAATTTCCAATCTCAGTGCACTATGATTAGATATTACCAATGGGATAATTTCAATACCTTTACAGTTACTTAAGAATGTTTTATGGGATAATATATGGTCTATTTTGGAAAATGTCCCATGCGCAGCTGAGAAGAATGTGTATTCTGATGTGGTTGGGTGGAACACTCTGTAAACATCTACTAAGCCCATTTGCTTGCAGGCATGATTCAGTTCTATTATTTCTTTGCTGACTTTTTGTTTGTTGATCTATTTCGTTGTGACAATGGGCTGTTAAGTTCCCCTGTTTGTGTTCTTGGGCACTTGGTTTTTCACGTCCACTGTTATGTGTCTTATATAGTTGGGTGCTCCTGTATTTGGTGCATATATATTTATAATTGTTAGTTCTTCCTCTTGAATTTTTCCACTAACAATATGTAGTGACCTTCTTTATCTCTTTTAATCATTTTAGGTTTTAAGTTCACATTGTCTGCAAACAGAATAGTTACCCCTGCTTTTTTCTGGGTTCCTGTTGCATGGAATACTATTTTCCATCCTTTGACTTTTAATTTATGAGTTTTGTTTTGGGTCAGATGTGTTTCTTATGTACAGCATATTGTGGGATCATGTTTCTTGACCCATTCTGTCAACCTATTTCTTTTGATAGGTGAATTGAGGCCATTTGCATTTATGGGTATCAATTAGTCATTCTTTTATTACTTTGTCTTTATTCATTAAAAGTCAAAAAGGATATTATTTAGAAAGAAGAATTCAAATCCTGCACACTGCTAGCTTGTATATGCTCGGCTCAGTTTTCAAGTCTACTATGGAAGCATCTCATTCAGTGATGTCTCCAGTGGAATGGACAAACCAGCGTCCCACCCGTTGGTGGCATTTCTGCACTCTGCTTGGTTTTACAAGACCCAAGGACCTGAGTCATGGCCTGTATGACCCTGGAGCTCTTTGAAGGCGGAGGTGGAAGAGCTCACTCTTTGTCTCTGGGCTCCTAACACCATGCCTTGCATATTACGTCTCTCACTGAACAGAACGAATTGACGCAAACCTTCTTTTTCTCAAAATACAGCACTCCTACTTTTACTGAACAGAATGAATTGAAATGAAAATTCTTTTTCTCAGAATATACCACTCACTCCTACTTTTAACAGAAACAGATACAAGCATCTGCCCAACTATATAATGAACAAACAGGTTTTTTTCCCCAAACAGCTAATTGTTTAAGGGCTAAAAATGTGGGCTGTTGTATCAAATTAGAAGAGTGTCAATTCTACTTCATTGTTTCACACCTGGTAACCTTGACCTGACTTGGGCTAAGTCTCAGTTTTCTCCTGTATTAATGGGCATTATATTACAGAAGACTATGAGGATTACACAGGACAAAACTAGAACATATTTAGCAAAACAATGGCATTTAGTAACTGCACAATAAAATTAAAATATAATTATCATTACTGTATAAAAGGTTGATCCATATATGTATAGCAATTTTGTGGTGCAAAAGCATCTTTTGAGCTATGTGACATAGGTCAACTAAATATCGTAAGAACACAATCAGCTATACTCAAAGTATCTACTGTTTATAATCAAAGAGCATAATTAGAAATTATAAGTTCATCAAATGAAATTCTGAAAGCAACAAGCCTTACTATGTCCTAAAAGTTCTATACTTAAGCTAATATATGCATTCATAAGACTAAATCTGAAAAACCATATTTCTTTGAGAAAGTAAGTTTTAATAAACCCTTATGCATACGAAACCATATGCTTGTACACACGGAGGGAAAAAATTAAATCACATACTTCACTGTGCATGTATGTGGGCAGCTGAATTAAATATTTATTCATATGAAAACACCTGAAGGAAGAAAATATCACTTACCTGTATCGGTGCTTATAACTTAGGGATCCAAACTTGCTGAGTTTTCTTGACAACGAATTGGATTCAGTTTCTGGCATTCTAATTGATTTTAAAAAGAAAAGCAAAGACTCATAAACAGGATATTCATGCAACATTTGAGCATAAAGTTAAACAGAAAACATAATGTTGCAACACTGTTTAACAGAGGTGAGCTACCCAACGGGAGTGCTACGTAGCTTCTGGTACCCTGGTACTAATTTCTCAGGATATGGCACCTCTTCGTCATTCTTTCTCATGCTCTTCCTCTCTGGCTCATCTTGTCCTCCAAATACAAGAAGGGTCCAGAGCTCAGTTTTTGGTTTTCTGCTTTGTGTCCTTCTTCATCTCTTCCACAAGGAACTTCATCAGTTCCTCTGCCTTAAATATCTACTAAACTTGTACCACCCACTTTCATCATTCCGGTGAGCCTTATATGACCAATACATATTACTACATCTTCACTTAGATAGATCACAGGCATTTTGAATTTAATATATCCACAAAAGAACACTTAATTTCTCACAATATCAGCAATATAAAATCTGCATTTTTACATAAAACTAAAAACTTACTCCAACATTTCCTGTACATGAACAAAAATGATATATCTGAACATATGTATATATACCTATATGTATACAAGCACATATATGCACATGTGTGTATGTCTGTATTAATACAACCCAGAGAATTGAGGCAATACAGATTAATTAAATGGACTGGGGATATAGCTCAGCAGCATAAGCGCCTGCCTGGCAAGTGCATGGTCCTAAATTTCATTCTTGGTACAAAAAAGGCAATTAATGAAAGAGAAACACATCTAAATTCCTGTTTATAGACAGAACAGATTGTTGTTATAAAAACAAATGCCCTTTTCATGTGTCAGAACAAATAAAACTTTCCCAATAACATACCTAAAAAATGTATGATATTCGACACTGCATTTCCAGAGATGCTTGCAAGCAGTTTTACTCCGTGCTTCAAAAAAGAATGAAGTTTCATTGCACTAAGACAAAAAGACAGAAGAGAATGATGAATCACTGACCCTACCACTCTCCAGTTAGGTAACAGAAACTTAAGAAAGCAGAGAGATTATTAACACATAAAACAAAAAGTAAGTATTTCTTGATAACTATTTTTGGATGGTAGCATTAAAATCAATCTCCAATAATCAAAATCACAAAACATAAGTTGTGTTTAACTTTTTTCCTTTTTTTTCTTTCTTTCTTTTTTTTTTTTTTTTGGAGACAGGGTCTTGCTTATGCAGTTCAGGCTGGCCTTGGACTCACTTTGTAGGCCAGGCTGGTCTTGAACTTGCAAACAATTCTCCTGTTCTCCTGCCTCAGCCTCCCTCGTGCTGGGATTACAGGAGTGCACCACCATTATGCCTGGCTTTTCTTTTCTTCTTTTTGCTACCAGGGATTGAATGATTCTCGCTCTTACCAGGCAAGTGCTTACACTGCTGAGCTAAATCCCTGGCCCTGCTGTTTAAATTTTCAAGCACCACCTTTACTATCTATTTCGCCCCATGACTGCAAAATCCAGTAAATGGCAAAAATCGCCTACCATAAATGACTACTGAAAAATATTTCGCTCTGTGAATTTCACTCCCCAAAAAAGGAGATGCTCATAAATTTAGTCCTTAAATGCATTATTTTCAGGGATGCACAGGTCAAATTCCTTTTTTTTTTTTTTTGTTGCACAGGTCAAATTTAAAGAATCTCAGGAGAAACCACAGGGAGTGACCAGAACTGCAGTAAAATTTTGGCAAATTAAGCAACATTTCTGATTCTGAGTTTCTCCATTCTGCATTGCTATTGGGTAAGTTAAACTAGTTAATATGATAAATGTAAAAAATTATAGTATAGGTATACATTAAATTTTAGGTATTATTTCAATCTAGTCGCTTTTCTTTAATATATTTAATACATAAGAAACTAAGGATACATTAATCCTAATATATTTAATGCATAAGAAACTAAGGATACATTAATCCTAATCATAAGATATTATTTGAAAGTGACATTTAAAAAATGAGCAAAATACAATGAGCACTACAGTAGTAGACCAAAAGTTCTTGATGTTATAAAATTGCTATTATAGTTTCAAATTTAAAAACCAAACTCAAGTCTCAAGTAATGGCTCTGGAATGAGGTTCCTATGGACTCATAAACACAAAATTGTCAGTGCAGAGAAATAACTGAATTGATCTGTCCCCAACTTTTAACAAGGACAAAACATTTATATGCATGAAATTCCTCTCAAGTCCAAATAGAATGATACTGCTTAACTTAGGAGTTTATTTGTGAAACAAAAGGATGTGATAGGAATAAAGTCAACATATTTGTGTCAGAGCAAGAGTAGCAGCCATTCCAAAACGTTCAGAGGCAGAGCAAGAAATTTTGGTTTCTTAGGATTTTCAGACTTTTCACTTGGATGCTAACTGTTAAAATATAGTAAGTGAAAAAAATTAGGAATCTGGATGGTAAGAAATAGACAACAAGTTCAGGTTAGGATATGTTGATTTTGAGATAGCCGTTGACCGCCAAGCAGGATGGCAATTGGGGCTCAGGGGAGAGGTCACATCTTATGGAGGGACAACCTCCCTGGAGAGTGAACAGACAGCTCAGGAAGACAGTGCAGAATATTAATGGTGGCATCACAGGAAAGATGGTCTGGAAGATAGCACAAGGGAGTCCAAATGAACTAGGAGAGCATGGTGTCAGATGCTGGACAACAGAGCAGAAGTCTCAAGTGACCCAGAAAGGTCGAACTGGGTTTGAAAGGAGGTTACACATTTCATGGAGAGAATTCTCTGGTGACTCCTGTGAGAAGGGGTAGGGATCACACAATTAGAGATAAAGAACAAAGTCAGTGAATTTAGAAAGTGTTTTCCTTAATAGAAAAAGAACCTGGGGGTGGGGGTGAAGTGCTGGTGGGTGGTACAAAAGAGACTGCAGAAATCTCTTGGGGGTGGGGTGGGAAAGCCCAGGCTCCTGTCAGGAGATGGGAGCGCTTGGACAAGAATTTCTTTTTTCTTCTAGTTTTGTTTTCGGAAAATATAGAGCATATTCAAAAGCCTAAAGTTACCCAGGTGGGCTCACAGTGACAATTCAATCTCCCTCTCACAACTGTCCCCAATTCCCCTTCCCCAGAGGCTTCCAGTATATTTATCAGAAAAGGAGAGTGTTTTTAAAGGCATTTAATTATCCTAAAATAAAACACACAGACCATTCCTTTTAAAATGAGTTTGTTTGTGACTGCATAGTCAGGTAAGTTGTAAAACAAAAGGGAGTTGTGTAGGCTGCCCCAAGACCAGCTTCCTCAGCACAAGCACAGAGGGTCTGAGCAGAAGGGAGCACACAGAGCACTCCTAGCGACCAGAAACAGGGCCCTGGACAACATCTCTGTGACACAGAGACTTCCACAATTTAGCAAAAACATCTATTAGTAAGGTATACTTTAAGTATATAAATCATAATGTCAAAAAACTTTTTCAATTACATATATTGCAAATCCCAAAAAATGGAAAAGAAATTAAAGGATATTCAGACTTAACAATAAAATAATATCTCCTCCAAATCTGAAACTTCTCTTAGGCTGGTTTTCATTTTACTCTTCACATTAATGCCTGCATTCTTTTACTTTTCAAGTAAAGAGCTAGTCACAGGGAATCTAACTCTTAATACACTTTTTAACTACCATCACATAATGAAATGATAAAAAGGCTTGTTTAAATCCAGCCAGAATTGAGTTTTTCTCAGGTTTATTAAAAGAACAAAAGAGTCTCTCAACAGGCCTCCTAATTATTTCTACTATGCAAGTATGAACTCATTCTCCATTTACAGAGGACTTTAAAACAAGCTGCCCATCTTTTATCCCACTATTGGCAAAAAGATCCAAATACCAAAAGGAGGGTTAATGTAACTAAAATGGAAGCTACGTATTCTGAATAAATTCTGGGTGCGTTTGCCACATACAGGAACTGCTGGCATGAATGAGTTGGATGAGATTTCAAATGTCTTTTTTCTACCACTTTCCTACTTATTAAACCTTTTCCAAATAGCAATGAGCAATTAGAGCATTTCCACTCGTTCATACAAAGATGAGCAGCTGCTGCGTTAAAGAAGTTCAATCTGAGCTAATGTTAAAATATCTGATGCTTGCTTTTGCAAGTCTACTCACACATTTTTATAACTGGTCATTTCATGCCAGAAGGAAAGCTATGGTCTGAATCCATTTCTTTCTATCTTACCAACTGTCTGAAATATTTCTTTTTATTTTATAAACAAATCAAGCTTAAGTCATTTGTATACTCAGATATCACGTGTATTTAATTGTGCTTTGGGCCTCTGTACAAAGTAGGCTCATGTCCTGAATTCTTTCATTTGCAAGGATGCAGAACCCCTTCCACACTGACAAGTTTCTAAAACCCTCTACCCATCTCTTCTAGCCATATCTCTCCTAGCAAGCTTAAAGAAATAAAGCTACCCTGCTTAGCTCCTATATGTACTGAGGTTCTTGGCAGAATCACTGAAGAGCTCACTAACAAGGCAAGTAGCAGAGCCACCTTAGTCCAGCTGTACTGCCTCCCCCAAGCTGCTGTTCTGGATAAAAGACCCTCCCTGACACACACAGTCCTTTCTGGTTTCTCTGTGCATCTGTCCCGGAAAATAGTCATGGCCTGACAGTCTGCCTTCTTCAGGTTTCAGGGAATTATGGCCACAAACATCTTCTCAATCCTATTATTAGACACTTATATCACATCCAAGGTCAACAGAAATAAACCAAGGTATGCTTTGAGGTCAGTACTTAAGAGCAAAAGAGGTCAGTGTTTCTAACAATGGTTAAGATGCAATCATTACATACACACCTACTTAAAGACCTGTGGTGAGGAGGCTTCCTACTGGTGTTCCATTGAGATGGAGGAGGGCTACAGACAAGGGGGAAGATTACAAGTGTGACAATTACCAGCCTACACTACTGTGAGATTTTATATTTTTTTAATATTCAAATTATAGGAGAGATAGATGATAGATAGATAGACAGAGGCAGATCGACACACCATTCTTGGTAATTGTTGCTTCACACACACAGAGAGAAACAATCAGAAGCCTAATTGTTTCTAAACAAACTTTCTTTGTAATTACCACTAAAGTACAAGGCACATGATGAAACTGGGGGAAAAAAAAAAAAAACTATTCTTCAGCTGGAAAGAAGTACAAAAGAGATGTGATAAAATTTTGAAAAATTTTTATCTATTGAAGTTGAATGACTATAGTTTTAAAAATTGAAACTTACTCATATATAAGACATTAGGCATGGTGTTTGTTTTATGGCTTTCCTCATAATTTTTCATTTTACTTTTTCTAGATATCCTAAGTTGAAAACTGGCCAACAAATACAGCATGAGCTCCAATTAAAAAAAATATATACCAGTTTTATTATTACTTGGAACAGAAAGTCAGAAGGAAATGTTAAAACACTGAGTATATACTATCTTATTTGATCAAGCTTTATCTTTACATAATGCTCCCCAAAGAATGGCTCTTACAGTATTGGCATAAAAGGGTTGCAAGGTCAAAAAACCAGGAGGAGCACCAGGTTAAGGACTCAAATTTTTTAAAGTGCTAATGCACACTGCGAATTGGCCACGAGCTGGTAAATTACTGGGTGGATTTCCTAGTTAATTTGAGCAAATAATTCACTTCAGTGTAATTTCAAAACCATTATAATTAGATTATTCTGCTTCCTGTTTGAAGGAATTCACAGAAGGAAACCTAAAAGTCCAGATGGTTTACTTGTGACATCGCTTTTACTCTTAAATTTTCTTCATCTGCTCTTTGTTTCTCTTACATGTGCATATTGATAGAATTTTTGTTTTAATGATAATTTTACTCTCAGTTTTAGAAATGCTAAAAAACAATATAATGACAATACCATTTAGCTTATTGCAATGAAGAAATATCTATTAGGACCTGATATTCTTACTTTAAGATTTTTATA